GGTTATACAACTTACCCTTGGAAGAAACGAACCCTTAACCTATAGAATTACTAACATCACGTCCGACAGTTATGTTGTACAGTCACTTCTTTTTTACTGAAGAAATATTGTCTCAGATCAAAAGACACAGCAAATATTTTACCATATCAATTGCATGTCGGCGTCGAACTTACGTTCATCCTTTCTATAAAACAGTTGCTACATTACACAAAAGTAATTATGGTTACTCTCCTGTTTCCATCTTTATATAAAGCTGAGCTACGAGGTAAGGGTACCAGGATGAAGGCACCCTTACGTTTAATTAATTAAGTACCACGTCATGAAGATATATGGAAGAGTTGAGGTAGAGATCCATGCATTCTTAACCTTACAATTAAATGGAGGTGAGTGGTCAACTTCACTCCCCAGATGTTTTATCCCTGAGGAAAGAGGCTCTAGTACCCATTGAGCGGCAGCAGGCTAAGTGGGCCCTGGGGCCACTCTGAACGCTGTGGAGAAGAGGGAAATGGCATGGCCCTGCTGAAATGGAACCTCAAGTTCTTGGCTGTCCTCCTCTTAGCTGAGTCAGTGTACTGACTGAGCTATCCCGGGCCCATATAGCCATAAGACCAGATTACACGCATTGAACTCAAAGAATAAATTACTGGTATACAAGATCAATGAAAGAGACCATCTGGAAGCCAGATCTGTAACATACAGTGGACGCCCATAGGGTTGTGAGACGTCGAGGCTCACACATGGCGGTGAGGTTGTCAGCCATACAAGCTGGACGGGCATTTCCTACGCCATATTTGTATATACACGATGTTTTAAAAAAAAAAAAGCCGGCCTCGATTTACTCCCAGAAAGATCCATGGTGCTCATTTCTGTTCGAGGCTGATTCGACCCTAGGGCCATAGGGCAGCTGGAAGGATTAGATCAACTGAAAAAACAGTGACCTCATCGGAAATCGAACCCGCCACTTTCCGGCTTGTGGCATAGTGGCTCAACCAACTTCGCTACCGCATGCTCTCCTTAGATGGAGGTAAAAGTAACAAAAGTAAAACTATCCCTGTAACAGGCCGTGAAGGCCCATAGGGTTGTGAGACGTTGAGGGTCCCACACTATCTAGACAATCGGCTCAAAGATGGCGGTAAGGTTGTCAGCCTTACACGCCGGCCGCACTTTACTCCCCAGGAAAATTATTTAATTAATTCCTGGTACTCATTTCTGTGGTGATTATACATTGTATTATTCCGGAGGTGAACGGGCCGAAAGAAGTGTGGCAATAGTGGTGCATAAAAGTGTAGTGAGGAGTGTTGTTAAGAAGATTGTTTGTAATGACGGAATTATTGCTCTGAAGTTAAAGGCGGAACCGGTAGATATACTGATTATGCAAGTGTACATGCCAACATCAGAGTATGAAGATGATGAAGTGGAAAAAGTGTATGACACAATTGAAGAAATTCTTCTGGAAGTTGGAAGAGGTGACACAAACAGCATCATATTGGGAGACTGGAATAGCATTGTTGGAGATGAACCATATCAGAATATTGTTGGATCACATGGACTAGGAAGACGGAATCACAGGGGTCAAATGCTTATTGACTTTTGTGAACGAAATGGACTGATTGTCACCAACACTTGGTTCAAGAAGCCAAAGAGAAGAATTTACACATGGAAGGCACCTGGGGATTGGAGGAGGCATCAGCTGGACTACATCCTTGTGAAACATCGATTCAGAAACAGTGTGAAGGATGTGAAGACGCTGCCTGGGGCAGATATTGACTCTGACCACAACTTACTGGTTGCCAAGTTCCGAACCAGGTTGAAGAAAATTATAGGATTTCGAAAGCGCAGACCCAGATGGGATTTGGAGAAGTTATATGCTCAAAGACAAAGCGTGCAAGAGACTCTAGAAGAGAAACTCGGTGCAATTGAAGGTGAAAGCGGAAATGCTGAAGCGCAGTGGAACGATATAAAAGAATGCATGTTAGATACTATCAGTGATTTGGTAGGTAAAGTTGAGAAGATAGCAAGAAAACCATGGGTTACACAGGAGATGATGAGTAAAATGGAGGAGCGAAGGAAATGGAAGAATGTCAACAATGAAGAAGGCAGGAGGAAATACAGGAGACTGAGGAATGAATTGAAAAGAGCCACGGACAGGGCCAAAAAGGAATATCTTGAGAAGATATGTAATGAGATTATGGAATTTCAAAGAACAGGCCGTTATGATTTGATGTACATGAAGACAAAAGAACTAGGATGGAAAGAGAATCATGGGATTCAAAATGTTGGCATCGAAGACTCCCAGGGGAATAGAATAGTAGATCAGAGGCAAGTGCTGAAAATTTGGGAAAATTATATTTCAGAACTATATGATCGACCTAATCGGCCAGAAACCTTAGAAGTTGAACCGGAAGAAGAAGTAGATACAGACGAGAAAGGACCATATATTTTACAAAGTGAGGTGGAAAAAGCTATCAAGGAAATGAGGAAGGGAAAGGCTACAGGAGATGATGATGTACCTGGAGATGTGCTCAAGTTACTGGGAGAAGGTGGTTTGAAAACACTGACAAAACTAATGAACACCATATATGAAAGTGGAGAGTGGCCCAAGGACTTTACAGAAGTTACAATGATTGCCTTAAAGAAAAAGACAAAAGCTACAAAATGCAGCGACCATCGCACAATAAGTCTTATTGCACATACAGCAAAGATAATAGCAAAGATACTTAAAAGAAGAATTGAAAGGAAAATAGAGGATGTACTTGGAGAAGATCAGTTTGGATTTAGAAGAGGAAAAGGAACCAGGGATGCAATTGGGATGATGAGAATTATAGCGGAACGAACTTTGGAGATAGATGAAGAACTGTGTGTTTGCTTCATAGACTGGCAGAAGGCATTTGACCGGGTAAACTGGACCAAATTAATGCAGATCCTGAAAGAAACAGGTATCGATTGGCATGAAAGAAGATTGATTAGCAAATTGTACATGGATCAGAAAGTTAGAGTACGACTGGACAGGGGGGAGACAGGAAGTGTGCAGATTGGAAGAGGAGTTCGACAAGGATGCTGTTTATCACCAATTCTGTTCAACTTGTACAGCGAATGCCTTACCAAGGAAGCTCTGGATGGGCTCGGTGACTTCAAAGTAGGAGGGCAAATTATTCAAACTGTGAAATATGCAGATGACCTTGTGTTAATGGCTAAGGAAGAAACTGTGCTACAGGGCATGATTGATAGACTAATTGAAATTGGAAGGTGCTATGGCATGGAAATGAATGTGGAGAAAACAAAAGTAATGAAAATTTCGAGACAACCAACCCCAGTCACAATAAAGATAGACCAAAAACAAGTGGAGAATGTGAAATGTTTTAAATATTTGGGTAGCTTGTTAACAGATGATGGAAGGTGTACTTGTGAAATTAAATCCAGGATTGCCATGGCAAAAGCTGCATTTAGCAAGAAGAAGAATCTTTTTACCAGCAAATTGAACTTAAATTTGATGAAGAACCTAGTGAAATGCTACATTTGGAGCATAGCTCTGTATGGGGCTGAAACATGGACACTTAGGGCAGTAGATCAGAAACATCTGGAAAGTNGAAATGTGGTGTTGGAGAAGGATGGAGAAGATCAGTTGGACCGATTATGTGAGAAATGAAGAAGTGTTAATTGGAGTCAGTGAGCAGAGGAATATCCTACACGAAATAAGAAAACGGAAGGCTAATTGGATTGGTCATGTTTTACGCAGAAACTGCTTTCTAAAAGAAGTTATCGAAGGAAAGATAGAGGGGCGGATAGAAGTGACAAGAAGACGAGGAAGAAGACGTAAGAAGATGCTGGATGACCTTGGGGACAGAAGAGGATATTGTCATTTGAAGGAGAAAGCTCTAGATCGCATTAAATGGAGGAATTGTTTTGGAAGAGACTGTGGACCTGTCGTCTGACAGATTACTGATGATGATGACTCATTTCTGTTAGAGGCTGAGTAAACCCCAGGGCTTAGTGCGGCTGGAAGGATAATACTGAAATGTACCTTAGAAATGTTTGGTAAGAAACTGTGAGCTGGGTTCAACTAACACTGGGTAGGGTCCAACAGTGGAGTCCTCTTGATAGATAATCATATTTTAAGTCCTTGCGAAGCATTAACTTCTTGAATCACTGAGAAACTGTAAGTAGAAATACCCTGTACGATGCAGTTTGTGCTTTTTACCATCATCCTTGTTGGTTTAATTCCCTTGAAGCACGTGTTGAACAGAAATTTCAGAGCCCAGAAAGAAAGTCACATCTCACCAAAGATACTATTTCGGTACGTTATAACTCTCAGATTGATAGGTTGGCACTCTGACATTAAACTCTGGAGAACCCCATATTTCACTCTGCAATCGTACATAATGACGCACTTCTAAACTAGTATCATACTTCATTGATAGATGGTACTGAAGCTTATCTCATCTGGCGGCGACTTTCTGAACTACTAGAACTTAGTGATATGGATGTGCTCATAGCTTCTCACGCACAGATATCGTTTATAATCATTAACTGCTGAACACTTGTGAATATACAAATCTATTTTACTCTCAAAGGAAGTTTCTATATTGAAGTTCGCTGGCAGTTAATCAAACAATGTGATTCAACCAGTTCAACTTCGTGACATCATCACATTTGTAGCCCCACTTTACAAGAGGCTGAAATATAAATCTGTACTCTATAAATATGAGATTTGAGGTTTCAACAGAGGAGTCTATAAATTCACTGTCTTCTGAAATACAGAATTCTGAAGCCATTATCAACATTGTGGAGGAACTTGCTGCCTCTATCTTCAGGGTATAAGAAGTTTCCAGACTGTGTGTGGATCAGGCAGCAGCAGGTTGTTCTCAAACGTTACGTAATACTTACTAGACTATATGGCGTCACATCACAGAAGACAGTGATCCTCCTATGTTATAAATCCTTTCATTGAACAGTATCAGCACTCTGGATTTGCAGTACTAGGGCAATCCGTCTGTATTTAACTAAAACCTGATGTTCGCTATATATGCCGTCGCTGTGTCTACTGACGCCAGCCCAACTGCCATGACCGTGATAACCACAACCACCACCATGACCACATTCACAACAATGACAATGACCATTACCACTGTCACCATAGTGACCACCACTGTTGCTGAATTGACATTTTCACCTGCATTGGATAATAACATGGTTAGGCCTAAAATGGAGTTTCCTTCTAATTTCACGATGAGGGCTGAACAACATTTGCAGCTACTTGATAACAGAGGTGAAGGGTAAAGTTACTGCTGTAGTTAATTAAGAAGGAAGTATGGGAGAGTGGAGGCACTAGATAAAAGTGAGTGGTCAGCTTTGTGCGCTGGCCTTCTCAACACCAGGGAAGCAGCCCTGGGTACCCATTGGATAGGAGGAGGCCTGGTGCGCCCCAGGGCCGGTCTGGATGAGAAATCTGTTGCCCTGGTTGGGAAGTAGTGATCCAGCCTGTAGCTAAGTCACTACACTGACTGAGCCAGACAGGCCTACATTACAATCTGCAAATACGGCACTGGTGAGACTAACTGTTCACATAAAACAATCAGGGAGTGTCAGCTAATATATTTGTATTTTATGGGAAATTTTTAACATGCACGGTAGACGTGTACTGGTATTATGCGTGAGATTTGAAGTTGTCACAGTGAACAAAGTGGTTAGTGTCAAAAAATGAAACTATGTTACAGAAAGGAAATAAGTGAAACTAGAAAGGAAAGAACACAACAGGTAGAGTACTGCTGTCCCACGATTACGTGGACCCAGCAAATTTGCGCCTTGCTGACACAAATTACGACCACAAAGTTGAGTATGACGTCACAAGTCCAATTAGTGGTCTGGAACAAGTGACAAGTGACGGGGCTGCTGTCTGGTTAGCTCCCCTCTGCAGTGCTTAGGGAACACCTCATTTGTAAGCTGACAAAATTAAAACGGTAGGAGGATGGGATGTAGGAACGAAACGTAATTCAAATTAGTTAATTCATGAAGGTTAAACAGTTATTTTTAAGATGAGTTCGACAGACATCCTGGATTTTAGATATATGAATGTGTTCATAAAGTTGGATCGAATGCACCATCCATTTGCCGCGTTATTAACTCATTAAACGAATCTGTTTCAATTGCTGATGTTACAAAGGATGAGAAGGTGATCGTGAGCAGTGAATTGGTAAAGATTTCAAAGGGAAAGCAATGGCCGACTTCTGGGAACTATTCTGGTATTCATGTGGGAACCGGATAGCTTCCGCATATATTTACAAAGCAAGGCATATTAATCTGTTTTGTGAGAACATCACAGGAAGCAGTCACTTAGGAGAAATAGGCACTAGATCAAGGATATTATTAAAAAGAAGTTATAAGCATTGGAAAGGATGAAAATTCATGTAATACTGACACAGCAAAGTTTCACACTTCGCGAGGTCCCTATTTAGAATTTCAATGTGATTACTGCCTATCCTAACTGGCTTTGTTTTTCACCTATGTAAAAGTCCAAAAATTAAAATACAAGCGAACATCTACTTACGAACTTTCAAGAAACGAAAAAATTGTATTTACGAACATTACACGGACTGCTGAGTTGCGACTCCGAATTCATTTAAGGAACACAAAAGCCCGCATTTACAAATAAAAAAATTAACATTAAAAAATTTAACAATATAGCCTATAAAAAAAAATAAATTCAACTTGCAAACACGTTTAAAAGAACACATTATGACGTAAGCTGTGGTTCGGCTGCATAGATAACTTCCAATTTTTGCTGTTGTCTTGAATGATCTCACACATTAAAGGAAAACATAGGCTCAGGATGTTTGAGAACAGGATGCCGACAAAATATGTTGATCTAGGGGGGAAGAAGGGACAGGAGAATAAGGGTAGTTGCATAATGAAGAGCTTCACAATTTGTAATATTTGCCAGATATGCTTAGGGTAGCCAAATCAAGGCGGATAACGTGAGCCTGGACAGACAAAAACAAAATGTGAACCTGACGCGAAGATCCTATTTGGAAGACCTGGATACAGATGGGAACTTAACCTTAAGGGCAAGGTACTTACCGCAAGTGTAGACCACCTTGAGGTACATGCGTGATTCTGGCTTACAGGGGTTGCCAAATGTAGCAGGGTCGGCTGACAGTGTGCAGCGCCTCTTCCCGTGACAGATGTTCATCACTGTCTCCGTAGCGTAGCTCACGAGACATGCTGCAACCAACCACACAGCACATCCCTATGTGGCAATAATGCAACAGATTTCGAACATGTGGCAAGGTGAAATCACATGCCCAATGTGTAACAAGATTGTGCAAGAACGCGAAGGTAAGCCTCCCCACGTTGCTGGCTCACAGATCACCCAAAAATCTGTACTTTCTTTGCATTCTGTCTTAACTAGGAGTTCAGGACGTGACAGAGCTCAAGCGGTTAGTCGCTGGCTTTCCAACGTGGCGGCCCGGGTTCGATCCCGGGGTCTGGGCAAGTGGGATTTGTGGTGGACAAAGTGGCACTGGGGGGCGGGTTTTCTCCGAGTACTTCGGTTTCCCCTGCCAGTCTTCATTTCACCAAATTCTCCATCATCATAATCACCCGGGGCAGGTACAATAGGTCAATCAGTGGTCGCCGTGCCGAGTGGACCCATTTGGACTCCACCCCCCACTAAGCAAATTAATTAACCAGGAATTAGGCCTATACAAGATTTGAAGATGGAGCTAGAAGTTTTGTTCAAACGTGCTAGTACCCGTCTGCCAAACTACAAAACATCAACTCGCAGATGGGTATTACCATCAACGATTATATTTTGCTGGAGTTGAAGTTCTTACAGAAGTGACTATGAAAATCAAGGTCTTGTGGTCTGTAACGTTCTGCAGTTTGGAAAGAGCCTAACATTTCAAAGGATCATATTGCCTCCATCTTCAGGGTTGAAGAGTAAGCCAAGCTTAGCTTGCCATTTGCTTATGTCGGTTTCTTATTTGGTTTATTCACAATACATGTAAATAATGCCCCAGGTAGAACTTCAATACATTCTGCTTCAGTCCGTCATTCCGAAGTATTTCAACATGCATTCAATGTAACAAGTAACACAAAGACTTTTTATCTAAATCCGCCACTGCAGTAAAGACCAATATTCACAGCAAAACAAATTAATATGATTACGAGTACCAGGAACTAAATAAATAATTTTCCTGGGGAGTAAAGCGCGGCCGACGCGTAAGGCTGACAACCTTACCGCCATCTTTGAGCCGATTGCTTAGATAATGTGGGACCCTCAGCGTCTCACAATCCTATGGGCCTTCACAGCCTGGTACAGGGATAGCTTTACTTTACTTTTTTTACTTTTATTATATTTTGGCATTATTCTCTCTAGATGACTTTTCGAGGACACCAGAGAGGCTAATTGAATTGTCCTTGTCCGTTTACGGAAAACACTAACTGGAGGTCTTTGCTGGGTAACGTAAAAATGTCAACAGTACTCCTAGCGTAGAGTTAGAAACTGGCTATATAAACTAATAGTGTACATCTGACTTGTGGGGGTAGGATTATGTGAGCTTGTCTTGTGTCGTAATAGTGGAACAATAACAAATTCTTGAACATCTATCATATGCATCAGAGTACCTTGAAACATGAAGTTCGTCTAAAAATGTTGTTTAAAACTAATTTCCTTCTTCACAGGAAACACACAGTGGCATACACGGTTACGGATGTCCATTAAATGGGTAAAGTGTGGATACAGCAACAATGGAGAGTATGAACGCGTTACAGAGGTGGCTGATACGTTCTCAATTCGTGATAATGTACTCACTTTCTTCAGGTACTCCCTGGGGTTGCGGACACTGGATGCTCTCGTATTCTGTCCGTCCGTAACTGGCGGAGTACACTGCGATGCGTGAGTTGGGGTTGCATTTCAGCGGTACCACGTCATTTTCACACGCCACTTTGCTTCGAAACTCGTCTGGAACAGCGAACACAAGTGGCTGTAGGGCTTGCAAATGCATTCTTGTTGCACTAACACACACACACAATCAGCACTTGACGAATATGACGTGCGGAGGCTAACACGAAGCTCCATGTTCACAAATACCTAAGCTCTGACCACAGCCCCATAATTGCAATAATTGGCACAACCCTATTAAACAAAAACCCCTTACCAAGGCTACACAACCCAAAAACCAATTGGGATACTTACCGACAAATAATCCAGGATAACACTAAACTAGCAGTCAGGCTGCAATCCCCAGACGACATAGAAAGGGAAACTCAAGACTTTATCAATCTCATCCAACAAGCTGCAAGAGAGGCTACCCAGCGAATTAAAATGAAAAACGAGTCCCATCACATCTCCTGCGAAATAAAAAAGCTAATAGCACAAAAGAGAAGAGCACGATCAATCTGGCAGAGAACTCACACCCCAAATAGCAAAACAAGATACAACCAACTAAGTAACGAGCTAAAATCAAAACTAAGAGAAACAAGAAACAATTCATTTACACAATATGTTTCAAACCTCTCCAGATATGACAACTCCATATGGAAACCGATAAAAAGCAGAAATAAACCAACAACATCCACACCTCCACTGAGAAAAAACACAAACCCTCCTGGACCCTGGGCAAAAAATGACCAAGAAAAAGCCGAACTGTTTGCAGAACATCTAACTGAAGTTTTCACACCACTAAATAATAACAGAGACGTAAACGTTGACCAGATTCTCAACTCACCCATCCAGGACCAAGAACACCCAAAACGTCTCAACCCGAAAGAAATAAGGGAAGAAATTCACAGGCTAAATACAAAAAAGACGCCAGGAGTTGATCTCATCACAGCCACACTACTAAAGGAACTTCCAAAAAAGGGAATACTCAAACTCATGTACATATTCAACTCCATCTTAAGGAATGGCTACTGGCCCAAACCATTAAAAATCGCACAAATAATAATGATTCCAAAGCCTGGGAAAAATCACACTGACGTAACAAGCTACCGTCCAATTAGCTTGTTACCCATAATATCGAAACTTCTTGAAAAGCTTATCCTCAATAGAATTAATCACGACGCCAATCCAAATGACTGGATCCCTAATCACCAATTTGGCTTTCGACAGGCACACTCCACAGTACAACAATGCCACCGAATAGCTAATATAATCAACCAAGCTATGGAAAACAAACAATACTGCACTGCTGCCTTCCTCGACGTAAGCCAGGCATTTGACAAAGTTTGGCATCCAGGCCTGCTTTATAAAATCAGAAGAATTCTACCGGCCAAATATTTCGCAATACTGCAGTCGTACCTAACAGACAGAGAATTCGAAATAAAAATCAACGCTGAAGTATCCAACCGAAGAAACATACAATCAGGAGTTCCTCAGGGCAGTATCTTGGGTCCACTCCTCTACGTGCTATACACCTCAGATATACCGACCACCGAATTAACAAAAATAGGTACGTTCGCAGACGACACAGCAATTTTCGCTACGTCAGAAGACCCGGTAATTGCTTCATCTAATTTACAAGAACATCTGAATCTAATGGAGAAATGGCTACACCGATGGAAAATCAAAGTGAATGAAAGCAAATCGGCGCATGTGACTTTTACTCTCAGGAAAGGAAACTGCCCCTCAGTACACCTAAATCATGTTAACATTCAACAGCAGGATGTAGTAAAATACTTAGGACTACACCTGGACTCAACATTAAACTGGAAACACCATATAGCGAAGAAGAGAAAACAAATCGAAATTAAGTTCAAGGAAATAAATTGGCTAATAGGTCGGAAATCTCACCTAACAATAGATAATAAACTACTGATCTACAAAACAATAATTAAACCCATATGGACATACGGCATTGAGCTCTGGGGATGCGCCAGCAGGTCCAACATAGAAATCATCCAGCGAAGTCAATCCAAAATACTTAGAGCCATAGTTGACGCACCTTGGTACGTGTCAAACCAAACTCTTCACACCGACCTCAAGATCCCATATGTAAGAACCGTAATCACAGACAGAATCCAAAAACATTATCAGAAACTGGAATCTCACCCCAACAACGCAATAGAAGCTCTCCTTCAACCTACACAATACAGAAGACTAAGACGAACTTGGCCAAACGATCTCCAGGAAAACTGAGGTGTAATCGATGGATTACAGCTCTTCAAGCCAACTTAGTACAATAGAATAATTATTGTACATGACAGCAAATTAGCTCATAGAATGTAAATTCAGATTGCTAATAAATGATTAAAAAAATGTTCACAAATGTTACAGCTACCATCAGAAGCTGAAGAGAGTGGCGGAAGCCGGGCAGGTAGGCAGGCACAGTGTCAGTGCATCGCGAACATTCGTCTTGGTCGGAAAATTTCTGCGTGATTTACACTTACATAATTCGGAGTTGCCTCCGAGTGAATCATCCTGTAGATCACCGCGACTGGGGATGCGAGACCGAGAAACAAGGACAGTCCACGTTCCTTTACATTTACACAAGCTACTTCCCCTTGGGGTGTGCTGTCGGTAATTTCCCCGTCGGCCCTTGTAACAGACCGCATGGAATATTGAGGCAATTCCCGACAATCTAAACACCACGCTGGGACCTTACAGGTCCCACAGTGCGGTGCTACTAGCCAACGTGTCTTCTGATCGTTTTGACCGCTGCCAGGTATGTCTGCAGATTTAGAGGCGAGACACGAACTGTGGACGGTTGGGAAACAGAAACAATGTACTCCACTAGAGTGCTCAAGTTTTCAAAATTTCATTTTGCTAGTTTGCATATCTCACTGGTTTTCTGTGTTAATTTTACGCAGATACAAAATTTCTGTTGAAAGTTACCACACTGAACAAAGCCAAAAATTATTTTTCCTTCCATTTCACTTAACCCACCGAGCGGTTTAGCGTAGCGGTAACTTTCTCTTTTCGTATTCAGGATATACTCGGTTCGAATCCCGGCTGGGACACCGGCTATCTTGATTAAGGTCTTTAGTGGGTTTCCTTAGACCATCCAGACGAATGCCAGAATAGTATCTCGATTATGCCACTTCCTTTCAAATCCTCTCCAATCCTACCATCCTACTATTCGACGCCGTTATAATCCAGCTGCTAAGTGTGTCGCAAAATTACCCACAAAAAAAATATTTATTCTTGGAAATGCCAAGTGTCGAAAATTTCGATCCTTTCAAAAATTGGGATACACGTATTTGACAGCACGTGACATCTACGGTCCCTTCTCACCACGTTTTCTGTCTGGAATTCGTACATGCGTTATGTCTAACATGCTTATTACACGCCACATACATCGCATCTTTGAGTAGATGATTCTGATAACATTTGGCGATGAGCACAAGTTATGAAGCTCCTCATTATGCAGCTTCCTAGAGTACGTGCTCATTTCTTCTCTCTTAGAGACACGTTCTGTACTGAGGGCCATGTTCTCATGCACGTCAATCTAATGTGAGAGACTAACACACCATACAAAACCACAGGAAAGATCACTGTCTTGTGTAATTCGAAATAAAAAAAAAATTAAAATATGAAAACTATAACTCTGCCTGTGGTTCTGTATGGGTGTGAATCTTGGTCTCTGACATTAAGAGAAGAACACAGACTGAGGGTGTTTGAGAACAGGGTGTTGAGGAGAATATTTGGACCGAAGAGGGATGAAGTGATAGGAGTTAGAGAAAACTGCATAATGAGGAGCTCCATAACCCGTAATCTTCGTGAAATATAATCCAAATGATCAATTACAGGAGGATGAAATGGAAAGGGAATGTAGTAAGAATGGGGAGGTGTATATATATATATACACATATACAGTAAAACTTGGTTATAGTAACATCGGTTTCTGCGACACCTTGTCTATTGCGTCAAATATTCAATGGTACGAACTAATTCCTCTAAAGCACTGTTTTTATACCTTGCTTAGTACGACATGCACAAATGCATCAACCTCGTATGTAACGTCATTTTCATTCCTGAATTTCTCTGATATCGTGGGAAAGTTCGATGTGTCTGCCCACCCTCACTTTCTCTACTTGCTGACGTGACTGTCCTGGAAGAATACGACCGCGGGCTGCAAGAGGAGCGTGGGTTTTATGCGAAAACAAGGGTGTGGGGTGGGACTGCGTGAATAGTGCAAGAGGACGCGGCAGGTTGTTAACTGCATTCCTTTCCTAGAATCTCGTCTAACAGGACCTCACATTGTCTACTTACCCTACAGTGTTCCTGCCTAAACTCAGAGAAGTGCAGTAGCGAAAACATGGCAATGAAAAGGAAAGTTTTAAGCATTGAAGAGAAAGTTAAAGTGATTCGTGAAATATTGTGTGTATTGTCAGTGAAAAGCGCTGTAATATGTCTTTGATATTACACATTTGGGCAATTCCACGTTAATGTTACGTTAGTCTGTACTTAACTACGTATTTCACTAAAAAATGCAACATTTTAACTCGGTTTTTGGTAGATTTTTACGTGACTAACATAAGGCTACTGTGGAAGCGCCCATTTCGGTTACAACGACATTCGTTTATAACAACACTATTTTTAGGTCCCTTTGATGACGTTATAACCAAGTTCTACTGTATATATATATATGGTGTGACGTATTTGCGCTATTCAGGACACCCCCTCCCCCACTAGCAGTGACGTAACACCTTCGGAGCGTTGCCGCTGCTACGGTAATAGGCCAGTCAACATCCCGCCCCTTCCAGTGGTGACGTGACCAAGGGATGCCGCGGTTGCTATGCAGCAGTAAACAACTCCCGACAGCGTTGCCAGGCTATCGGCAAACACGGCGTCAGGCAACAGCGGTACCCATCATGTAACTGTTTTCTGTCTTGTCCGTGTCGAGGCAAAACAAGGAGCAGCGAACACTATTCAGAGTTAGTTAGTAGTGTGTGATCAGGAGTGACACAGTTGAAATGTACCCGTCGCCGGAGACAGTTGAACTGGAAGTCGCCGAGTTCAGCTGTAGCGGAAAGAAGAATACCGGAACGTGTGAGTAGAAGTGATAGCCTGAGAAGCAGATGCTCGGCTCACAAGAGAAGTGTGTGATACAGTGACACTGGTATAGCTCCCGGATCGTACTGTGAATACGTGTACACTACTGAGGATAGAGTGAAGAGATTTGTGTGTAATGTTTGTAAAGTGTGTAAACCCGTAACAGTGTTATAATTAATTGCAGGTTGTTAAATAAACCAATTAACAATCCGAACGGCGTCTTCAGTGGCAAAACACGTTACAATATATATATATATATATATATATAGGACATTGGTGGGAAAGTCAGGAGTAAAGAGACCACTATGAAGACTTAGACGCAGATCGGAGAACAATATTTTCAATTTTTTTTTTTTTTAGAAATAGGATGAGGTGTTATGGACTGGATTCATCTGGCTCAGGATAGGGAACAGCGGAAGGCTCTTATGAATACGGTAATGAACCTACCGATTCCATAAAAGTTTGGAAATTCTTGACTAGCTGAGCAACTGGCGGCTTCTCAAGAAGGCCTCAGCTGAATTAATATCAGACACCATGAAGTCTAAGTGTTAGGAGCAATACTCACATGGACGGCACTTGTAAGCGACCTCCACGTATTTGCGCACGCCCGGACAAGGATCCCCGCCGAAGGTTTTGGGCGACGTCTGGAATTTGCACTGGCGCTTCTTCTGGCAGGCCTCCACCACCGTCTGCAAAAGAGAGTACTGAATACCGTCATTCAGATCGGCTGTTGCACGCTCTGGCGGGCGGCCAGGCAAACAGGTCGCCGCCATGCCCGTTTATCGGTATGTCAGATTAAATACAATTTTAATATACAGTTTTACTACTAATTACGAAATACCAACATAACGTCCGTTGCAATTTTAACGGGAAGCCGAGGAAACAATTGTCCCTGAACATTTATTTGGTATAAGAAACGACTCATTAAAAATATATAAGGTCAATAACTTGTAATTTTCTATAAAAACAGCAACATTTAAACTTTATAGAGTGAAATGTGCCAATTGGTGCTGCTATCTAGAGGAACTGAATGGAAATTCTCATAAATATCGAGTTTTAAATGTTCTTCGGATTTAAATGGAAGCCTCGATAGCTCAGTCAATATGGTTAAGCAGGCTACGGGCTGGAAGAAGGAGGCGACGAAAAGGGAAATCTCGAATCTCAGACAGTAAAATGTGGTCACGAGTTCCACGGCACTCGGATCCGAGAATGACTGCGCTGGCGAGGACCAGCAGCAATTTTAACCGACAGACCCGTCCTCTTGTCAGAGAGAGAGAGAGTGCCCCAAATCAACAAACCCGCAACTGTCTGACAGTAATAAAAATCTGGTCGTAAGCCCCAGATGGGTGCTTTATTCCATGAGAGGCTGGTCGACTGGCCGTCGGTCGCAACATGAGACTCAGACTCAGACTCAAGACTGATCATGAGGCACATATTTCATTTTTGATTAAATAATTTATATGATCGATGACTTTTGGAAATAATAACTCATAAGAGCTACTGTCTCTTTCGGAACTTATCTAAAACAAATTCTGTTACTGCGACCACTTGAATTTAATTCGGTGAGTATTTAACGATGCTCAAGACATTTTTCATTACCCACAGTGTCCAGACCGGCTCTGGGGCCCACCCAGCCTCCTATACATGAGTACCGTGGGCTCCTTCCTAGGAGTAAAGCGGCCGGAACGTGAAGCTGATCATTCACCTCTGTCTAGTGCCGAGATCAAGAACGGTGGAGCTACACCTCCACTCCCCAATATGTGTTCATGGCGTGATTCTTAATTAAACAAGCACAGGGACAGGTTTACCTTATACAGTGGAACCTCGCTTAACGAGCACATCTCATAACGAATAATTCGCATAACAAGCGAAACAAATTGTAAAAACACGACTCGCTTAACGAGCTACGTTTCGCATAACGAGGGACGGGAGGGGAAGTCCCTGATTGTGCGCTTGCTACATCAGTCGCCAGCATCTTAGTGTCGCTTGTGATCACTAGGGCCCGGATTTTTTGAAAATGCATATGCGCACAAGCAAATGCATGTTTTGAGGGTTTTTGGTCGTTATTGCATATTCTAAACGTAAGAGCATATTTCTGCATATACGTTTGAAATTAAGGAAAATTAAGGATGAGTAGACGGATTTATGTGGCCGATGCATAGCAAATGTTGTAGTTGGTAAGCTACATCCAGACGAACCCGGCAAACCTCATCTTCTTGCTTGCAAAGTACTAGAGAAAACCAAGCATAGCACAATAGCAAGATCTGTAAATGATTCTCTGCGACTACTGTGGTCATCTGAAGTTGAGAATAATTGGTGTAAGGTGCTTGTGGTACTCAGAGATGGAGCTTTCTATATGTTGAAAGCAGCAAAGGCCTTACAAGTATTTTATCCAAATCTTATACACGTAACCTATTTAGCTCACGGGTTACACTGTATTGCAGAAAAGTAGGCGCACAGTTTCCAGCTGTTAATGATTTAATTGCAAGTGGGAAAAAACTGTTTCTGAAAGCACCAGCTCGTGCCCAGTTCTAAAAAGATTGCGTACCTCAGGTTCCTCTGCCACCTGAACCTGTCCTAACTGGGGGGGGGGACATGGATATCCGCAGTTTCATTTTAAGAGGGAATTTCAGTCAAGTAAAAGAAGTGGTTACAAAACCTGAAGATGAGTATGCATGTGTCCGTGAAGCAAAGGTGGTGTTTGGAAGTGATACTGTTTATCAAGATGTGAATTTTATCCATGCACATTTTCTACGTTTCAAAAGCCATTGAGAGCTTAGAATCTTGTGGTGTACGCCTTCACGACTCACTTCAACTAGTTCACTGAATTCCGCTCCAGGCGAAATTGGAGAGAAGATTAAATTCAAGTTAGAAAAGGTATTGAAATCGAACCCAGGACTAAAAAAGATTCAGTCAGTTAGTCAGTACTTGAGTAGAATTAGGGTATCTTTGCCAGATGAATGTTCCGAACCTTCGGCGCCAGTGTATAAATACTGTCCAATCACGTCAGATGATGTAGAGAGATCATTCTCAGCCTATAAACTCATTTTGACGGACAATAGATGCAGTTTGTCTCCAGAAAACACTGACAGACTTCTAGTTGCCTCTTGTGATGCTACTTTCTGCAGTGAATGATACATGTAAATAGGCGAGTCTGAATAAAGCGACCTGCTTCTTAAGTGCATATTGCTTTATTTTTGGTGCATATTTTCCCGCTTTTCAGCGCATATTTTAAGTGTTTTACTGCATATTTTAAGTGTTTTAGCGCATTAAGATCCGGGCCCTAGTGATCACACATTTTTCCAAACTTGTGTTCAGCCATATTATTTGTGTTTTTTTTTGTGTGCAAAGTTTAATAACCCTTGCAAAATGTCCCCGAAGAAAAAGCCGCAAAAAACAGCCATAAGAGAATAAAAATTACCGTAGAAATGGAAAGTAAAATCAGTGAAAAGCGAGAACGAGGTGAGAGGGTGGCTGATCTAGCACACACATACAGTCGGTGTACATCAACGATTTGCACTATCCTCAAGAACAAGGACAAGATTAAGGAGACAGATGCTTCAAAGGGAGTGACAAGAACATCTACGCAACGGTTACGTATTCTCGACGATGTTGAAAGGTTGCTCCTCATATGGATAAACGAAAAGCAATTGCAAGGCGACACTATTAACGAGAACATCATTTGTGAGAAGGCGAAAGTGATTTTCGCCGACCTCGTTAAGAAGACGCCAGGATCATCAGCGGCCGAAGAAGCATTTAACGGAAGCCGTGAGTGGTTCGAGAAGTTTAAGAGAAGAACCGGCATCCACAGCGGTGTAAGGCACTGTGAAGCAGCAAGCTCCGACACAAAGGCAGCAGAGAACTTCATCCGCGACTTCAAGAAGATCGTAGATTCTGAGGGTTACCTGCCGCAACAGGCTTTTAATTGTGACGAGACGGGTCTCTTCTGGAAAAAGATGCCGAAGCGAACCTACATAACAGCAGAGGATAATGCATTGCCCGGCCATAAGCCAATGAAAGACCGTGAATGACGATGATTCACGCTCCTTAACAATGTATATGTAATTTTCTTTGAATAAACGTTATACATAGAATTTTTTGAGTATTTTTTTCGGCATTAAACGCATTAACGTATTTTACATTAATTTATATGGGAAAAATTGTTTCGCTTAACGAGTGTTTCGCATTACGAGTAAGATTCTGGAATGGATTATCCTCGTTAAGCGAGGTTACATTGTATTAACTAATACAATTGTTTAGTTTAACAGTTTAAAGCACATAAGAAAGTGCATGCACCCAATATTCAACATTAAGAAGCTCTGAACTTTTGCCACACAGCGTGCATGTGCTTCCATTTCCCTAAACAGGAAAACTCGGTTGGTTTTTGTAACGATACAGCGCACGCAGCCACAAGAGTAGAACACATCATAAGACACAATACACACAACATTAGAACATAAGAAGAACGACCCCATGTGGATGATTAATAATACACACGAATTTTGAAAATATGACGTATGGGATAACAGGTTTTAACAAGTTTTAAACGCATAAACTTTATTATTATATAATGACGTATACAAATTTTATATTATTTGTAAATGGACATATAAAGGCAAGCAGTGAAATGGTTGACGGATCGATACACCTGAAGATGGCAGCATACTGCCGAAACATGTAATGTAGAAGTGATAGATGGGACTGTATGCTCTTGAAGACTGTTAATACATACACATTACGAAGGAGCAGTGTGTTTGCTGCCCTGTATGCACTAATGGTTTCAATACTATTTATACAAACTCCAGGCTTTGAACGGTTAAAACGAATACAGAGCTCTCGAAAGAATTTCGGGGGGCACGGAAGAATGTACGTACATGATATACGGAATTTCTGATGCGGTCGGAGTTCGAATTGGGGTCGCCTGGGTACAATTCTGTGTTTCACCCACTACTGAAAAGTATTTTACGATAATCATTACCTGTTTCTTTTCAAGCACCAAGGATCGGCCAGAATGTTAGTTAGCAAACAGAAGACGAATATATTTTCCAGGCGTTCCACAAGTTGCAACGAGAATCATATGTAACCCATGTTCCAGAGTAGCTCAGGGCTAGTGGGAACTAACCACACAGCGTTTCTGTAAACACGGATATAACAAAACTCACTCTCCTGAGTAGGCCAGCTTAATAATTACAGGACACACCCAACATGGTAGGAGAAGTGATACTCGTCGCCACACGTAACAGACAGATTCTGGTGTAAGAGCACTCTAATTAGTCCAGAAAAAAAAGCATGACGCAAAGTATATAAAATCTTCCCCAGAGATACAAATGAGTCTCTCTAGGAGCCATGTAAGTACAGTCCGGTTTTTATATATTGTCTGTTTTAATGCGCATTGGATTTCATGAGACAGTAACTGATGAGGTGCGTTGATTAATCAAGACCGAACTCTGGACGTGTCAAAGGCTTTTAGTTCCAGGGTTTATCAACTTTTCTTCACACCCTACTCCAAAATCCCCATCGCTGCTACCTTACTCCCCTCATGCTCCACACAGTGGACACGACTAATACCCGGACTGTATGCTGATGCTTCATTGCTTCCCATTGCATTACACGCGCAAGTAACGCGGACCTGTTCATCGACTTCATTGACTTTTCCTTAGAGTACAGCAAAAAAAAAAAAAGTCCCTCT